CCACATATTTTATTGCTGACCTGTGTCCAAAAATACACATGCAAAAATGTTCTGTAAAATATGTGGAGAAGAATAAAAAGTATGATCAACAATTTGTCAACAATTATTCAAAGATCTCCACCAAATTTGGCAGAGACAGTAGATTCATGCCTCAGTGTTGAGACAGACATGTCAGATTTGTTGGGTTGGAGGTGGATTTTATGATAGTTTTTATCTTCAACAAATTTATCGAGTTGGTTTTGAAGATTTGAATCATGAGAAATGCTATGGTGCAGATGTAAATTGAATATCCTGCCATGGAGTTCTCACCAACCTTACCTGAGGCTCCACAAGTAAAGAAAACCACTGAGCAGAGCATTTTGAATTCTGGTCTATCAATACCTCGATAGCTGGAAAAATGATGCAACCATATTCTTTGTCAATGCCAAAGCTCCAAAATATCTTGTGAACACATACACAAGATTTGCAGCCACTGAACAAATGCAAGTCTGATTTTGCCAACTGTTCGAGAGTTCACCCTCCAAGATGTATGGTATTACTGTACTAATACAACCATGTCTTCACATCACACATCACAAAGGGTTGTGAAGGAAGGGAAGTAGGCATGATGTTATGCATCACACAAAGTTTTGAAGAGTTTTTTTTTTGAATTAAAAATACTGTACTAATACGACCATGTCTTCACATCACACATCACAAAGGGTTGTGAAGGAAGGGAAGTAGGCATGATGTCACGCATCACACCAAGTTTTGAAGAGTTTTTTTTTGAATTAAAAATAGTCATTTTTTTCCAGACCTGCGGTGCCTTGTTTTAAACATCACATTTGGCATATTTAGAACCATGTTATACTTGAGGAATGCATGCTTACCTTCCAGCCAAAAAAATTGACAGGTGGAGGTGGAGGAAGCAGAAGGTACAGGTGCAGGTACTGTGGTACATGTATGTGCATTTGGAAGTACAACCTCTGTTAACGATGCAGTGTTTGCAGCACAAACGATGCCCACAGCTGGGTGTGTCCACACGCTTGTTTTGATCCTGCCATGGGAAGTGCTTGGAGCGACGGAAGATGATCCTGTTGACGTATAAGCTTGCAGGGCCAGGGGTGTGGGCGGCGGTGAGGTTGAAAATGACACGGAAGACCCCAAGACTGAACATATCTCAGTGAGGCGGCGTTGTTGGATGTTGATTGGATGGTGACTGGATGGTGACAGGTACCAGTGACTGGTGACCAGTGATGTGGTGATGGCCAGCCACCAGCCACCAGCCAACCAGTTTTTCCAAATCTGAGATTTTTTAATTCTCTGACACTGCAATATTGAAGCATTATGTCATATTTTTTTAAATCTTATCTAATCTCTGCCAAGTGTCAATGTCACAAAACTCAATTAAAGAAGTATAGTCATTAAATCTCACTTACTTGTTTAGAAACTTGTTCTTAATACTAATTTGAACACCAAATGCACCAATTTCAAAATTTGGATAAGCCAGACTTTCCAACATTGAAATATGTTCCATATAATAAAATTTACAAGTCACTCACCTATATCCAGTATCATCTACATAATAGTACGTTGCATTTGGTAGGAAATAGTTTCATAAAATTGGGTTTGCAACGTATCTGGGACAAAGTTGATCAGAATGATGATGTCATATTACCATATATGGACATGTGCCTGATTACGTAGGTAGGTAGGTCAAGCCAGTAAGCAAGAGGCGTCAGATCCACCGATCGCGTACACAGCTCCCACGGTGGGTAGGTGGGGAGTACCCCCAAATTGGGAAGGGCATGTAAGCAGGTGATCAGCTGTGATCAGTCGTCGGAACTCGACATGAGATGTTTCGGCATGGTCGGCAGCTCAGTTTGTTTACCGCGAAAAACCTTCATTCTTCTCATCTACGTCACCTGTGTTATCTACAAACGCGTCCACGCCGACATATCCCTCTCAACATGGCAAGCTAATAATGCACATACTGGTGCATATAAATCGTCAAAAGTGTAAATTGGGGTTTGCTGGTGTGCGCATACCTTATGATAT